TAAAAACCCACCTTTTTATAAATTTAAAATTGCCCCGGCGCCCCCCCCCCCCCCACCCCTGTAGACACTAATGCTCCCTCTAGGAGCGCCAATGCTTCCGTTGGTAATAATAGGTAAAAATAAAAAATAAAAAGGAGACGGAGTGAACGGAGAGAAGAAGGTTAGTGACCTGAAAACGTGTTCCTCACCTCCAGTCTGTCTGTTCTCATGAGTTTCTGTGCAGCAGCAGCAGCGACAGGGACACTGGGGTTGCTGGTGACCAGAACAGGGGCAGTGGGGAGGATGTCAGTGTGCATTAAGCCTGGTGACACTGGGCCAAGGTAGGGGTTGAACGCAGCGGCCGCTGCTGCGGCAGCATTGGCATTTGTTGCAAGGCTTGGTGTGACTGAAAACATGGGCTGTGGAGAAATGGGAGACCAGAGTTGGTAAAACAGGAACAAAAGAAATGACTCTCACAGCCTGTGTAGGAAATGCCATCTTTCATATCGATATCTTTCGAGTGGAGAGAATGGAGAGTTTTTCTACTGGATTTTATTATTTATAATCAAAACCATTTTAGCAATTGATATTTCACCAACATTCACGTTAAAATGTAGCCCAGTGGTTTTCAAAATAAGGGTCAGGGAAGGCACAAAACAAGAAAAGTCAGGTAGCCGGCTAACTTTCATGATGTTTGTTCAAGGTACAGTTAGAAAGAAGAATAACTGTAGCAGCACAGGAACACAGAGGAAGTCAACAGGGATCTCTGAAGCTGTTGGACATCACTTCTTCTCACTCTTTCTATTTTCTGTAAATTGTTATGGAGCATGAAAATCTAATAGTAATATATAATAATATATAATACTTATGTCTGAAGTAATGCTTGTGTTTATGGATGAATAAATATATGTGTGGTGGTGGCGGTCAATTGTTTAAAAGACTTGTTTAAAAGATTGTTTAAAATTCCAAGACAAGTAAAAATAGAAGTTTAACCTTCTCCAAAGATCTGGAAAAGTTAGCTCAAATGTTAGTCAGGCGTTAGTCCAAAGTGATGACATGAGGCCTAAAGATTGCTGTGTGCTCCTCTAATACAACGATTTGACTCCTAGAGACATTTGTTGGGAGGTTTGGTGACGTACTATGAGGACAAACAAGATAAAGCAAAATACTACAAAACAATCGTTGCACCAAAGGTCTTAGTTTCTGTGTAAACCCTTGACCTGCACACAGTCTCCACAGGTTCTGTCCTGACACCAACTTTACTCTGAATGACGTCGGGGTTAATGTCGATTACATCAAGCACCACAGGGAGAGTTGTTGTTTGGATTTCTTTATGGTGAGATTCTTAGCCCTGAGCCCTGAAGGTACGACACAGTACAAGTTCCCACTGCGTGTTTCCGACCTTAGCCTCAGTCTGAAGATCGTCATCTGAGCCGCTGCCAAAACCGCAGAGTGAACAGGAAAATAACAGCGGCAGAAGCCAAAGCCGAACCTCGTCACTGCTGCGAGTGACTCACAGCATCAGGAATGATGGCGTCTGATGAACAGCAACGTCCTGCAGCAAGATTCCCCAGAGACGTGTTTTTCATCAAGCTGCTCAGATTACAGTTGGGGTTCTATGGTGCTATGATGTCACTGAGCGCTGATGTCATCCAGAGGTTGTCCTGCGACCTTTTCCTGTTACTTCACTTCCCGCAAGACTTGTTTCCAAGAAAAGTCTCACAGTTCAGACTCTTGGTATGAATCATAATCACAACAGACTGAAAACAATTATTTTGAAATGAGCAGATTGACACAGTAGGAAGAAGAAGTCTAAACTGCTGTCTGCAATTTGTGTCACAGCAGTGAATGTGTTTGTGTGGATCTGTTCTCACTCCTTTTGACTCAGATAATCTTTTTGTCACCAAAAAGTTCATTTTAAATCAATTCTACTGAATATGAATTGGAATTTGTCAAAAACTCCTCGAAACATTAAAGATGATTTTTTTCCCGAGCAGAACATTGTGGACGTGGAGACGTTTCCTTAGTTTCATTCTGTATGATGTTGTCACGTCCCATTATAAACCATTACAGGCTAAGTCCACTTTTTTTTTCCAACACACGTCACGTTAATAAACAGTGACATCCAGATGGGAATGGAATTTTGAGTGAAAACTACGAGGTTTCGTTGCTATGCTGCTAATAAACTTAGCAGCGCCTGCTAACTGCCATTGTTGTTTTTGACAGGTCCTAGCTTTCACCATCCATTGTCAGGTTTCCCCACTGTGGGACGCATTCTCTGGAGATTCAGTTTCAGGGCACCCAGAACACCGGTGCCATGTGGATGAAAGCTCTTAACGATAACATACTTTCACGCCTAAATCGTTCCGGTGTGGACACGGATCCAACTCTTCTCCTTAAAATGGTTGAAGGCGTTGACAACAGGTGTAATTTTTAGGCTGACAGTCGGCTGAAATTGATGACGTTGTAAACTCACTGTCACCTCAGCCTACTGTAAGACACGCTAATCATTTCAACCTCTGCAGAGATTCATGCGTGAAATGAAAGTCCTCTGCTCCATCAGTGGTTAACGGAGGGAGCTGTTGGTTTATTCATAAAAAAAGGAAAGAAAGTACCAGAGATGCAGTCTTTAAGTCCTGGTGACCTGTTCAGATACCAACTGTTCTGATTGGAACAGTTAACTTAGTAGAGTGACCTACTGTTGTCTGTTTTCTTCTAATCAAACATATGGTGCGCAGGTCCATGCAAAGGTAACAAAAAAAACTCAAAAAGAACAACTACCATTTAGAACATCAGTAGAGAACATTTCAACCACCAATAAGAAGTGTTTCACTGACTGCAGCCCACAGCCCTGTCTCCACAGCTGTGAACCACAGCCTGCTGATGTAAACTCAGCTCAGCTGATGACCTGCAGCTGTGAGGGAACACAGGTGAGTCTCAGCTCATCAGCACAGGTGACCAGAGGAGAGGCTGACGACCAGGAGAGAGGAAATGTTTACACCACATTCTGTCCTCTCACTGCTGACTCTCTCTTTTACCTTCACCTTTTCTTAACTGCCCCGATCATTTATTTATTTAGTCTTAGTCTTTTCATCTTCACCTCCTTCTGTGTGGTTTTTCCGTCAGCGTGTCTTCTCCTTCTCTCCTCTTCACTTGCTACTCTCCTTGACATGATAGAAAAGGAAAGGTGTTGTGGTTCTGGAGAGCTCTCGTTCTGATTTTTTCTCTTTCCTGAGAGATTTTCATGGTTTTCACACCACAGCAAACTGCACCACTGTTTCTCCTTTACTGTAAGCCATCAGCTCAGATACAAAGATCTTGGGTCTTTAGATATTCTGATGTACTGAAGGGCGGTGTTGAGGTGTTTAGTTCTGTGGTGTTCACAGTTGTAAAAACCCACTCTCTGAGCTGGAGATAGTAGTCATGTCAATCTGACGTTAATCCAACATTCCATGTCTAATCCAAGCTTTCTTTTTGAATTCTCTATATTATAGATGGCGGTTGGGTGTAATTATCATTCATTACTATCACATTATGCACTAGCGTGAGCATGCTAATGTCGGAGAACTTTATTATATCTTGCATTAACTGTGGTGACTGAAATGTCACAGGAGGCTGGGGGCGGTGGAGGGGTGGAGGGTGTTGAACAGTACTGGTGTTGAGACTGGCGTTACTACTTCACCTGAGTACTCAGAGTTTGAAGTACCACTTATTGAATATTATCCATAACAACCATTAATTGTCATTATACACACTCAGTTATACGGTATACAGTACTTCCAGTTAAAGTGTCCATGATAATTCCATGTGCTACATTTATATGTTAGTTGTTGGAGGAGGATCGGGGTAAATATAAGAGAGGTCATTATGTACTATTACATCCAGTTACTACGATGGGTTTTTTTGTGAGACCTCCTTGTTTCCAACAAGCGAAAGAAACAAGGGGAATTAAAACCCATTGAAAAGCCATTCACTCACGAGGAAAACTCCAAAAGGCCATGAATCCTACCAGTGGATTTTATTGTTGAGTTTTTTTCCATCTGATTATGATGCACCCACAACTGTGTGATTACGGCGGCTGCACTCTTGATTAGAGGGAATGAGCTGAAATGGCACCATCAGCATCACGCCACTTGTTATTAAATAAAATAACTGCTCCCCACTTGTTAGCAGTATGATGTGTTAGAAATGTGCATTTCCATCTCACACACACACACACACACACTTCCGCAGCTGGTTGATCCCCCCCGCCCCCCCACTCACCACTGGCTGTAGCTGCGTGCCGGGCATCATGGCATTTGCCAGCTGCATCTGCTGGGCGAGCATTGCTATATTTTTCTGCTGAATGAGGTTGTTCCTCCCGTTGATCTCCAGTTGGGTCTTTAGGTGAGGAGGGGGGTGGAGGTACTTACAGTTCTCCCTGGAACAGCGGCCCTGTTGAGATGGGAGACGGGAGAGAGATGAGACAGGAAGTGTGTTGGCGATGAAGTCACACAGAGAGACAAATAGAGGGAGGAGAATTAGAACAATCCTTCCCTGAACTGTGTCCTAATACAGAGAAGTAGGTAATGAGCCTCCAATCAAGTCGCCGCCCTGCTGGTTAACAGACGCTGACCTAACATTCATGACACGTGGTTCTGCTAGAAGATGTTTCTGCTCTCAGCTGCAGACTTGGTCCTTATCTGATCAGATGTTTCACTACCTTCTACTGAAATTAAAGCTAATGTCAGGAAGGCAATTTGATTTTTTAGCCCCTTCAATATTGGTTAACCAGAGTAAAATAGTTGGTTTGGTTAATAATTACTGGCTATTTAATGTTTCTAAATATGTTATTAAGAAAGACAAAAAATTAGGGTTAGGATATTAACACTTTTATTTTGACAAACTAATATTTTAAAGACACATTTACTCCCCTCTTCATCAGTTCTGCAATAATTTAATCAGCAGTAACACTGATAAACAGCCTGTAGGGGCAAAAAGGCAGCTAAAGTTTGTTTATGAGCCAGAAAAAGGTAGAGCAGGAAGTTATTATTATTATTATTATTTTGGCTTAGACATAGGCATTATAGTAGGCTAATTGGACCCACAGTATCATCTGTATAAGCACAGACCATAGAGCTAACATTAGCTACAACAGTCCTGGTACAAGAGGAGCTACACCACTCCCTCTTCTGGTATTATAAACTGTTAAGTCACATTAAAGAAATCCTGTGACTAACAATTCGTCATTACTTTGGTGATAAGTCAGCTCAGTCTAGGTAGAATAAAAGGAAGAAACTCTTTTGATTTCCAGGAGGTTTACAGTACGACAGCCAAGTTGGACTTTGGTCAGTTTTTGAGGGTGATTCTCAAGCCTTTTGATTTTGTCGCCATGTCTTTCTGTCATGTGCAGCACACGTGAGAAATGTACCATACAAATGAACAATTTATTAATTACATGACCACCGATGTGTGATGACATTGAAAGGTTACATTTCACATTTCCATATGTTTCCATCTGCTCCCACTGTGAGCTGCTGTGTCAATGTGAGAGAACCACTGCATAATAACAACGGTGAATAAATCAGATTCATTCTTTTCGACTGTGAGTGCAGCTCAGTCCAAACCAACACCTGCCATCATTGTTGAAGGGATATAAAGGGCACTTGTCCTTTTATATTGTTATTATAGATTTGAATTTTTACCATTGAACTTTCAACTGTGTTCTGACTTGATTTATTATGTTTAATAAAGTGTAATTCAGATTACAGGATTGGACCTGCTTTTTACTGGAGATATTTGAGGCACTTAGATTACTGCAGTAAAGCATGCAATGATTTAGTATATTAAAATAGTAATACTGAGTAGTCATTACTTAGTTCAGTGTGTTTTTGCTGCTGTTGTCTTTTTGTCACAGCTGCACTGAATCCACAGCTGACGAGCCAGAGCACTGGAGGGCGTGGCCTCCAATCAAGGAAGGGCAGTATTTAAGCTCCAGCTCCACATGCACTCAGTGCCAGAGAGTCTCACTCTGCTGCTAGTAGTGTAGCTGTTGTTTGGCTGACTTGTTGGATTGTCCCATGCAAGTAATTCCTGTTTCTTTGTCTTTTGCTTCAGTGTTTGGATTCCTGCCCACTGCCTTTGTTTTTGTACTTTATTTCTTCTCTCAGCTGTCTGCTTCTGGGTCCTCCTCTGGGTTATACTGAATGTGTGTGTTCTACTGGGGGAGTGCTAGTTAGTACAACTAACAACCTAGTTCACACAAAAGCCGGTTTGCATTTCTTTCAGCTAATGTTTACTAACTGGATTTGACAGTGTAGTACACAAATAAATATTTACCTTGGTCACCTGGTTATATACTCACTAATATTGTTGTTGATCAAAAATCATTTAAATTTTTTTTTTTACTCACCTCCCACCACAAAACAGAATTCTTCGTCACTTACATCTTTTTCCTGCTTCAAACATTCTTACTAACATACAATATATATATTTTTGTGTTTTATATTTATTGTTTTTTCCCATGTTACTCTAGTCTGTTCATTACAGTTGCATCCCGTGGTCTTTGAATGTAAATACGTACCCATTCCCTATATACACACGTGTGCTGTAACAATAACAAACTCAAGGATGAATCAAAGTCACGGAAACAACGTCTGCATCAGGATTCACTCCTGATTCAAGCAAACCATGATTTGACCATTTACTGTATAACTGAAAAACCTCGTCTGGATCAATACGGGACCAGAGAAAATAAACACCACCACATGTCACCATATTGAATATTCTGGCTGTGTCGACGGACAGTGAGGTGTGTGTCTGCCCAGCTCACCGCTTGATTATATTCATTCAGAATCCTGCGGCCCCAGGGAGAAAGGAGGGGAATGTAATTTACACTCTCATAATGCCTGCTCCACTGAACACTCCCCTGGTTAGCTGTAACATCGTACAAATCTCTTTTTGGCCTCCTTCCTCCTCCTTTTTCTCCTTCATACACCCAGGGCTCCGTGCTGATATGTGCTCAGCTCATCGTGATTACCAGTGGTGCCGACGCAGCAGTGCTGCTGGGATCTGCATACATGCACGCATGTATGTGTGCAGAATGTATAAATCAGTCATAATGTGCTCCTGCTCTGCCTTTGTGGCTCCCGGTCCTCCTCCTCCTCCTCCTCCTCCTCCTCCTCCTTCTCCTCTCCCCTTATCCAAATGCATCCCATTACTCCCTCTCCTCCCAGGGGGAGGGAGAGCCAACTCCTTACTACCACCTCCCATGGGGAATTAAAGGTTGGCTGTCACGCCACTGCTTATCTCGGTGAGATTTCCTGCTGCCCTCTGCAGCCTATTATGACACCTGTTTTACAGCCCTCTCCTCCTCCTCTCCTCCTCCTCTCCTTCTTTCATCTCCCTGTATCACTCTCTCTCTTTTCTTTTCCTTTTTCCTTTTTCTCACGCAGCCTGTTCTGCCTGGCTACAACAGGAGCAACCCTTTACATTGGAGAGCAGCAGAATGTTAAGAATTCTCTCATCATTTTCATTGGCCGACGGCAGACAGGAATACGTTCCGCAGTCTGGTGATTGGCCCAGAGGAAAACATTAACAGTGATCCAAGACTGGCTGTGGACTGTGTGGCTTTGAGGGTCAGAGCACATTCAGAGCTCTGCTGGCAGATAGAGGAGAGTCAATCAGAAAGTTCCAAGACAGAACTCCAAAGGTCAACATGTTCAAACGTTTTATCTGAGCAGGATTTTCAACCTTCAAGATAAAATCAGAGCAAATATAAAGAGAGAGGAGAGACCAGCCTGTGGGTCAGACGTGGGTCTTTAGTAGTGAAGATAAAGGCCATAACACACATCTATATAACATTTAATACCATTTTACCAGTGGGCAGGTTCTTCACAGATGGCCTCATTATCTGTTACTGCCCTGATGTTTGAACAGTTCAATATCAATCATCACCTGCAGCACTGACATATCCCTCCCCAGCCCTCGCTTCGTTGCAGCTTCCCCACTGATTAAACAACGTCAGCACAGGTTAACAGTGAGCACCTCTGAGTCAACACTGGTGACTGAACTCACACACACACACACACACACACACACACACACTTCCTCCTAATCTGCTGTCTGGTTTGGATGCTGTGACACCAGACTCTTCAAATGAATTCTGTATTAATGCTCAGATACAAAGCTACAGCATCATCTCCCGGTTTGTATGTGTGTGTATTCTCTGAAGTTTTGGCCTGTGCCAAAGTTTCTTGTATAATTGGCGAAGTGTTAAAGAAAGTGAAGCAGCTGTCAAAGTCTTTAGTCTGTGCAGAAGGGAACTAAGTGTTCTGTTCCTATAAATCACCTTGGCCTTATTCACAGCAGATATCTCTCACACTATGATCCAGCAGCGGATTTGTCAGAGTCACATCTGCGGCATGTGAAATGAGCCCGGAGTGCCATACACCGCTCGTCTCAGCTTCCTCACCAAGATGTGGTGAGATCGACAGACTGTATAGTTACTTAAACAGGTTCCAAAATAAATAAGTCAGGTCCTCACAGTTATACAATCACCTCACAGGGATAACCATGAATCTTTGCAGTTCATAGCTACTATACATTATCTGTGGCTGTGTGTGGAATCTAACATATGGAATATTATTTCAAGCATCAGAGACTGAAGTGAGAGAAGGCCATGAATTTAAAAGAGGGGAAAAAAAGACATTATAAAGAGAGAGAGATGAAAGTCGGCCATGGCAGTTATTATTGATCAAAACACTGAGAGTCAAAGTGAGTGAAGCCTGATCTCTCTGAATCATCCTCTGAACTTAAGAGGATGGAAAGACGACTATGCAGCTAACCCCTGGCCCCCAGACCGTTACTGGTCCGTTGGTTATTTGGTACCAGTCCGCAGAGGGCCACAGGGATTTGTTTTTATTCACTTAGATAAAATAATATCTCTCAGTATCCAATACTAACAGGATAAAGTCTAAAATATGTTTTATTTTGAAAAGTAACCTTTACAGTATTAACATCGGTTGGCTTCATAGATGTGTGAACAGGAAGGGGGTAGAACTGGAGTTCTTCCCCATCATCCCCATGCTGGCCCGGTGTTCCATCCAGCTTCTTTTTAGATCTTTGGTCAGTTTCCAACACAGTGGACAAGTACATGGTGTCTTATACTAGTAGGAGCCGTGACCAAGAAGAGGGAGAGACCCTCCCAGTCCCTGTTAGTGCCTGGAGACCACCAACTGGTCCTTGATACAATAAAGGTTGGAGCCTGCTGGTCTACAGTGTTCTCTTTTGCCAAGACAATCCGCACATTTTGTTCCTGTCATTAACATTTGTTAAAAACCAACCAAACATGATCCAGCAGACTCTGATCTTTTTATGCATTTGCTCTTTTCATTTGTTGAAATGCTGCTGCTGCTGCTGCTGCTGCTGCTGCTGCAGAGAGCACCGTGACTAGT